GTTGCTCCAAATTAACTTAATAACAATGATTTAAATTATTATTTTATAAACAATTTTATATAATTATTTTTACTACTTTAAGTATAATAAAATATATATAAATTAGTTTTTATTAAATAAAATTTCTATTAGTAAAATTGTGCTAAAAGCAAACTTTTTTGCTTTCATGTTTTTCGCTTTAACGACCTTGAAACTATTGAAGTTATATTTAGTTAACTTTACTGAATGGATAGAGTATATCATAGTAAATTAAATTATAACCTAAATCAAAACAACCAGTTAAGTTAAGATAGTAACTTACAGTTACTCAAGTATTAATTTAACAATTATATTAATTTATTTAATATACTCGCAAAAGTTAGCCATAGACATGTTTCAATTTAGAACTTACATGTTGTTAACACATAATATAAGCTTTTAACTAATAATTATTTTAACAAAAATTGTTGAATAGAATATAAAAAACGCGACACCATTTTTTTATATTTTCATTTTATTTATAGTGACATCTAGACTAAACATTTTCTATAAATACGCAATTGTTTTCAGGAATTTTATTTAAAAAGAAATCAATTTAACAAGAGAACTTTAGCCTTAAAATTCACTTATTCAAATAATTTTGTGATTGAAATTTGAAATTTAAAAAAAATTTTAAAATTTTAAAAAAGTTTGATGAAACAAGCGAGAAAAGAAGAAAGTTTTTTTTTTTCTTAAATCGTAAATTTTGTTAACGTTTTGAATTAAACATTTTTTCTTGAAAATAGTTTTAAAAGTAGAAACATTTTATTGCAAACATGAAAGCAGTGATTGCAAATTGCAAGTTAAAATAAAAATTATAAAAAATTTAAATTAAATTTAATATATTATTTTATTTCTGTTGGAAAAAATTTTTTTCTAAAAAAATAATTTAAGCATATTCTCATACTTAATATAATTCGATTTATTAAATAAAATTTTTTGTTTCACATTTTTTTGGAAAACAATTAGAATAAAAAAAAATTAAATGATAACAGCAGTTTAAAAACCATTTGAATAAAAAACTTAATTAGACTTAAATTTTTAATAGCACGCTTGATCAGGAAACAATAATTTATAAAAGACGGGGTATCTAATGTTTTTATGCTTTGATCTTACTCGTTTGGTCCATATATTATAAACTTGTATAGGTCTATAGGCGCAAATATGAAGTTTTGTTTTAGTTTATTGACTAAATCAATTTTATTTATTTGCCTCTTTTTATTTTAAACGCGTTTTATTTTATAAATTGTATAAATCAACACGAAACAGCGTCACGAATTTGTTTTACATTAAACCAAGCTCTTTATATTTTCAAAACAACTTTGCAGTTTGTTTTAATTTTGTTTTATAGCTTTTAACAAATATATATATATATATATATATATATATATATATATATATATATATATATATATATACATATATATATATATATATATACATATATATATATATATATATATATATATATATATATATATATATATATATATATATATATATATATATATATATATATATATATATATATATATATTATCATAAACAGTTTGGGTAGATCATATCTTTTATGTTCATACTTTAAAGCTATGAACATAAAAAACTTGACTATATCAGAATTAATGGAGAGTTTACAAATTTCTTTATCAAAATGATTATGCATATTATTTGCATCTATGTTAATAGCATTTTTATTCTTTTCGACAAGAAAATACAAAAGATGTAAAATTTTTTGTTCAAATATATGAAAAAATATTTGGTAAATTCTGTAATTTTCTTTTTCATTTATTCTATTTTCCATTTTGTCATTCCTAATTCTTATTTATATTCTTAATATTCTATTTTCAGAAAATAAAAAAAAAATACATCAGATGCTTAGGATGCTCAAGCAAATGCTCAACAAGAATCTGTGTAAACCCCAGCAACAGTTTTTTAATCACACCTTTAACTTCTACTTGCATTTTGAAATGATTTCTGCATTTCAATCCCAGTAAGCTTTGAGAAAAATGTATTAAATCTATTTTTGGAACCTCAACAGTACCCTATATAAATGATCTCATTTGATGAAAGTTAAAAATTTAGTTGTAGCTTTTGAATACAAAGCAATAATTATATGAAACTTATGTTATAAAAATATGTTAATATATATTTAGTTAAGAGTAGTGAAAAAAAAGTTTTTAATTGCTTTTATATTAAAAGTTGAGTAGCATACATAACAAGGTTTTTTAATTTTACCTAGAAACCAACACCACCAGCCTATTTTCACATTCACTAAGTTTAGTTTTGACATTTACTATTTAGATTCAAATAGTTATTCACTAGTTGCTTGAAAGATATTAAAAACACTAAAAACAAAACACAAAAAGTTTAAATTCACTTTTATATATACAGTTAAGGCTAAAAAAATCCAACTACCTAATATTTATAGTGAAAAACCATTTTTGTACTTTATAGTGAACAAATTTAATACTAGAATTTTTAATTCAAAAAACAACATACATGAACATAAAAGAATAAAGAAGTAACAGCATAAAACATATTTTACTACTTTGTATGGGTTCCTTGTATCTTAAACTTTTGATTTTAACCAACTGCTTCCTTGAAGCAATGTCTTGTCCTGATGAATGCTTAAAAGAAAGTCCAACATGTTGGGAATAAAGTATAAGTTTGGTGGGCATTTATCATTAACTTTGTGTGATGTACTTGCACTTATTCTAATAACATGACACATCACATCATTATAACAGTCCAATCCTTGTGTTCTTTGTAAAATTTGAGGCAATCAAAAAAGAGGTAGCACAGTATGATTGAAGATTAAAGTTCTTGGCAAGGCATCTTAGAAAATTATGGGCATTCATACCAGGAGACAGTTGAGTAAGAATTAATGAGCTTAAAATCTGTATGTTGTTCACAGAATAAACAGAGTATCATATTGTCAGTTTTTGGAGTGGTAATACTTGGTTTTTCCATAGAATTTTCATAAGTAATTATCTATAATAAATGGATGTGGTAGTATACTAGTGGTAGATCACTCGGCTCACAATCTCGAGGTTTAAATCCACTCTACACCTCAGAAATATTGCACGCAGCTTGTTTCTCCATCCAGTGGCCTTTTTTAACAAGGTTCATATTTTATAGTGTTAAAAAATAAAGCAAAAAAAAAAAAAAAAAAAAGTAGTCTCAGATAGAGTACCTTTTTTAATTAAAAAAAAATTTAATTACAAGAGGACCAATCTTTTTAGCCATAACTGCTTATTGCCAATTAATGAGTGTACCAGAGTTTGTGTTAAAAAACCTGCAATTTTAAACAATTTTCAGTTTTTTCGTCAGCTATTCCACCTTTATTTGTTGATGACAAATGATCTGTAACTATTTAAAAATATGTATAACTTCTTAGTTGCTGCAGGAAATTAATAAATTTAGACTTAAAAATATTTGGTTCTATTACAAAAAACACGCTCATTAACTGGTACTTTGATAAAATCAAAGATGCAACAATTTAACTGAATTGAAAATGTAACAAAAACTGTAAATAATATAAAAAATAACTTTTTAACCATACAACTTTGTAATAACTTTTAACCATACAACTATTATAACTTTTAACCATACAATTGTTATAATAACTTTTAATATCACAAGTATATGCTAAAACTGTTAGAATCCAAAAGTTAGAGCGGAATTAATAAATGATCGATGACAAGTTTTTTTATTTAAAAATTTTTTGTTTAAATGAGTTATATATTGATAAACTTTTTTTTTTTTAAGACTACATATCACAATACAAACAAAAAAAAGCAGTTGCTTTTTCTAAAATAAAAATATATAAATTTTTTTAAACTGCTTTACTTCTCAGCAAAACATTTTGACAGTTTTAGTAAATAAAACAAACTTTTCAATAAACTAAATTAACTTAATGCTCTGATAATTTATTAACAACTAAAATTCAACTTTTATGAAAAAATTTATAACCAAAAATTTAAATTAAGTCAAAAAAGGTTCACTTAAATTCAAATGTGACAAAACACCTAATAAAGTTAAACTTAACAGTTAACTAAGTTATTAATATAAAAATTTACAAAAAATTTTGTCAGTCAAAATAAATAACTTTATATATTTAGCATGCTTTTACAATGCTCAGCGTTTAAAAATTTTTTTAAGAAATACCTTGAAATTTTATCATTGAAACTAATATTTTATTAAACATATTGAAACAATTAGATTATTTAAAGAACTATTTAAATTTTTAAATAAGTGTTTAGAAGTCACTTACGTCAAGTATATATTCCTGAATAATTGCATGCAACACAATCCAGCAAAGAGTATAAAAAAATATAGTGCATAAATCTTTTACGCCTGAAGTGTACATGACATCTGAATCACCTAAATTTTAAACAAAATTTATTACATAAACATTTACATAAACATCAATAAATAAAGGATATACAATAACAGTAAAAAAAAACTAAAATAAAAAACTAAAATTTTTTTTACTCACTATCAGCTTCCTTGGTGACATTATATTGAGCAGCAATAAATGTTTGAGCCAATGGTTGAGTAACCTTAAATATTAAATATTTATTATTAAATTAGTGCATTACAAGAAATATATATCAATTATAGTCTTAAATATTAAATATTTATTATTAAATTAGTGCATTACAAGAAATATATATCAATTATATAATTAAAGAACCATAGTGAATGAACAAATATTAAATTTTATATATATATATATATATATATATATATATATATATATATATATATATATATATATATATATATATATATATATATATATATATATATATATATATATATGTATATATATATATACAAAGACCTAAGTGGAAAAACAAGCGTTGTCACATTTTAAAAGTTTTGAGAAAGTATTTAATAATTTTTTTTTCTCATATTTGGTGTTCTTTGCTTTTTATATAGACTTTCTCAAAACTTTTTAAATGTGACAATGCCTGTTTTTCCACTAAAGTCTTGAAATGAAAGTGCCAATGATATATTAAAATGTGTTTAATATATCATTGGCACTTTCATTTTTAGGAAATTCTTTTGAATATATATTTCTTTTTCAATGGTTTCAATGGTGAATTTATGCTCAATGAAAATATCTTCTATTTAAATTCTACTTGACATCTTTTATGGACAAACCCTTACACCATCATGTAACAAATTGTGTGCTCAAAAGAAGTGTTTTAAAAATAGAAAAGGTTTGAAAATAGTAAACACGAACTCATAAATTTCATATTTCACATTTATTGCCAGTTCATTTTTATAATTAATATTAATTTTCTTTAGACCAAGGCCGTTATTAAACCTATTTAATTTACATTTTATTATACATATTTAATTTACATTTTAATTAAAAGCAAGCAGTAAAATAAAGAAATCTATTTTCCTCGTTAAATAAATTTCTAGTACCAGTTATACTAATAACGGCATTTTTATTTCAAGTTTAACACAATTAATAAATTAGAGTTTTTTATGTTATTTTTCTATTAGTTTTTGAAAATACTTAATTTTCAATAATTTTCAGAATTATTGAAAACTTTAATTTGGAAAACTTTATTTGGAGAATGGGATATTTTCACCTTTAAATTGGGAATTTGAACTTTTTGAGCATTTAGATAGTTGATTTATGTATTGAAGCTGCTGACAGCAGGCTATTTTAGTGTGACATCATAGGACTTATCTAAACACACATTTATATATATAAAGGCTTCAGTACATAAATCAACTACTGCCTACTGCCACAAAGAACTGTCACTACTTTTCAGCTAACCAACCATTTATTAAAATTACTTAAAATTTTATTTTTAATAACTTTTTAACACCCACACCAATCCTTGTTATAACTGCCATGAAAAAAATATATACTTATATACATAGTTACATGTTATAATTATATAAATACACACACATATATCAGGCCTTGTTATGAGATTTTATTGTGTAACAAAAACGAGTGATGCTAATAAATATAACTTTAACACAGTATTTACATTGTTAAAAGTTAATTGAGTTATTAGCATACTTTAAAGGGATCCCAAATTCTCAACACGTTATATTTATATTAAAGATAATGTTGAAAAAAAAAGGTTTGAACCAAGTTTTTTTTATTAAAAATAAATAATTAATGCATACCGAGAAAAAATAATCTTGTTGTTTTAGACAAAGCTTGCCTTCTCTATTTTATTCAAAAGCTCGGAGTCTTTAAATTAGATGTCGCAATCTACAGACTTCGGCGATTCCTTTTTAACGCATTTAACTCCTAAAAGTTTTTTATTATTTGACATCACCGTAGACTAATGACAAATGAAAAATGCAATTAAACAACGCTGTGTTATAATACTTTTATTCAATAAGTATGTTTGCAGTATTTTTTTAAAATACAGCAATATAAATTTATCTAATAATTTTTTTAAAATAATTACGCAACATTTATATAAGGTAACATCTTACAATTGTTTAAAAGGGAAACAAATGCTCATTAAATAAAAATTATATTACAAAACAAATGTTCATTAAATAAAAATTATATTATACTCTTTGTTAAATAAACAAAGAGTGTAATTTAATTTTTATTTATATACTCATGTCTTATTTTCAGTGCTAGATTAAGGAGGGTTGGGGTTAGAGGGGGCTATAGCCCAAGCCCCGCAATGTTAGGGGACCCGAAAAAGTCAAGAAGACTTTTTTTTTTAGTCATTTTTACGCTGTGACACATAAAAAGGCCTCTAAAATAAAAATAGCCCCCAGCCCAGAAAAGTCTCACAAGATTCTAATAAAACTAACGCAAGTTTAAGTTTTATTTAAGCTAAATTATTTTATAAATAAAAAAGTTAATTTCTATAACAACTATTTTATGCTTCGAGTAGTTTGAAAAGTTTAACATATTTGAAACAATTCTTCTTAGTAAAATGAACAAATGAAATAATTAAATCATTGGATTACTATAGAAATTAAATTAACTAGATAGAAATCAAATAAAAAGGTTAAATATACATTATGACAAGGAAGTAAAACTGCTTCACAATATCCCTGATAATGTTTAGTGAGAGGGCTTTTTAATTTTAATTAGTACTTAAATCAGAAAAAAGTATGAAAAGTTTTTAAGAACTGAAGCGAAAAAAATTAGAGTTAGTAAACCAATATCTAAAAACTTTTATTTATATCTAATAACTTGCTATATATATTTGTGTTCTGTCGTGACCTCAGACACGGTGCTTGTTCTTCCGCGAGTTACTTTGTATGCATGTTTGTGTTAAGTAACCAGAAACTTCTTGTATGTTTATTTCATAATTAGTTTTATTAACTTTGATGATTATTAATAACTTAATTGAAAACACAATTATTGTCGAAAGTCTATGTTTACAAAGTAAATCATTAAAATTGCTATTACGTTAGAATAAAAAACAGATAAACAAAATTACATTTACATAAAAAATACATACTTTTTAAATAAAAAATAAGAACATACTAATAAAATCTATAATTTATAATAAACCTTCAAAATTTTGACAATTTAAAAAATGTATATTTAAAACATTTATTATTGTAAACAAATAATAGCTTAAAAGATTTACGGCTTTGCAGATGTGGCTCCAAGAATGAGCCATAGTATTAAAGTTTGCTTGATAATAGGATGTTTTGAGTACATTCAAGTTTATGCATGTTTTAATGTATGTCCGTAAAATATTTTTTGTTACATACATAAGCTTAAATGTTCTCAAAATGACTAAAAAACCTGGCAAGTTTTTCGCAACTAAAAATTACTTTCGTGGTCAGTATTCGAGAGTGATCGTTCCCGCTTCCCAACCAAGCCTGTACAAGTATTTTACATTATATAGAACGTTATATATATAGTCTCTCGTTTTTTTTTTTTTTTTTTTTTTTTTTTTGCAAGAGAGCGCAGCCTTATATATTCTGAATCTGACAAATTTTTATTCAAACAATTGGAACTATTTTCTAACTTCTCTAGTCATTTTTACGCAATGATATTTTTTATTTTCCTGTCGAAAAAAGTATTTATTAATACTTTTACTTACTGACAGTATTAATTAGAGATATTTGATGAACTGCTAAATTTTTGTTTTATAAAAAATTGATTACGCTGATTTAATTTAAATTGCTAAATTTGCTAAATTGGATATGGATAAAAAGGAAATATTATACTTTGCAATTGATTTTTGATAAGGAAACTTTTAAAATGTCGGCAACTCCATACCAATTAGAACCTGTTAAGGTTATGAAAAAAAAGTACAAGAATGCACTAAACAATACAGTTGACAGTAGTATCAGATATGAAAATGGCTCATTCTATGGCTCATTCTCGGATCATTTATTATATGGCTCATTCTCTGAGCCACATCTGCATAGCCGCAAATCTCATTAACTATTATTATTTGTTTACATAAATAAATGTTTTTAATGAAGTTATTAATAATCATTAAAGTTAATAAACTAATTATGTAGCAAACATAAAGAAGTTTCTGGTTACTAAACACTAACTATGCATACAAAGTAACTCGCGGATGAACAAGCACCGCGCCTGAGGTCACAACAGAACATAAATATATATAGCAAGATATTAGATATAAAGAAAAGTTTCTAGATATTTGTTCACTAAATCTAATTATTTTCGCTTAAGTTGCCATTCTTAAAAACTCATTATACTTTTCTCTGATTTAAATACTAATTAAAATTAAAAAGCCCACTCACTAAACATCATCAGCGATATTATGAAGCAGTTTCGCTTTCTCGTCATAAAAGTATTTTTAACTTTTTTAGTTGATTTCTATCTAGTAAATTTAATTCTTATAGTAATTCAATGATTTAATTATTTCATTTGTTTATCTTACTAAGAAGAATTGTTTCAAATATGTTAAACTTTTCAAACTACACGAAACATAAAATAGTTGTTAAATAGGTATTAAACAAATTAACTTTTTTATTTATTAAATAATTTAGCTTAGATAAAACTAAAACTTGCAAACTTTGATAAATAAAGAACTTTAAACAAAGAATTTTAAACAAAGAATTAAACAAGCACTTTAAACAAGAATTTTAAACAAACGTAAGATGTTACTTTATATAAAAAACGTCGCTTAATTTTATAAAAAAATTATAAAAGAGCGATGTTTCGAAAATATTTGTTCTAAACGTAATTTATTTTCTTTAAGTTTTTTTGCTTTAAAAGATATTTTATTTTCCTAAATTTATTTTTTGTAATTGTCTCTCATCAGTCCAATTAATCTTATGCGCATTTTTTTTTTTGCTTTTTGAAATGTTCTCAAAACATTATTTCCGTGGTCAGCAATCGAGAGCGATTGCTCCCACTTCCCGACCAAGCCTGAATAATTAACACATTAATTAGTGGCAATGATTCAAGATAGATGGTAACTTAAATTGTCAAAATGTCATAACTCGGGTTAAATAAAAATATTTGATATGCAGTAGTGGTGTAGTGGTAGAGCGCTTGCTTCATAAACGAGTGGTTCCGAGTTCGATCCCCACCACATCCCTGGTAGTACCACGCTCAACTCATTTCTCCGCGCAGCGGCCTTGTTCATCAAGGTTTGTGTTTCGGAGTTATAGAGTTGAGAGAGGGTTATAACCACAAATAAGTAGCCTCCTCGTCTGTAGTGGCCTTCTCGGCCTTGAGGAGGTAAATTAAATAAAAAATAAATAAAAAAATTCCCAATTTATGTGTCGTATTTGGCATTTGTCTCTTAACGTGAAAAAATAAAAAACTAACAAAATTGAAAAAAACAAGTTTTCAAGCGATTTTCTCTTCAAATTCCTATTTATTCAAAGAAAAGTTACAATTAAACTTTTATTTCTCTAAAAAAAGAATGAGTGATGCAAAAAAAAAAAAAAATCTGTTTCAAAAAAAAAAAATTCTAATTCATTCAAAGTTTAATTACGTGAAACTTTTGTTCTACTTTTTTATAAAAAGACCATTTAAATAAAAAGTTATAAAGTGAAATCAAAACTTTTCTTTTTTAACAGAATTAAACTTAAAGATAAAATTAAATTAGAAATAAATCGACAATGAGCAAAGCAACTAACAGTCCAATCTGGGACTATTTTGATATTGATGAAAATAATCAACATAAACAACATAAACCACAACAATAATTAAATAAACATCACAAAATCACATAATTTTTGGGACTTTTTATTTATTGCTTAGTCGTTCTAAATAAAAAGTAAATTTAGTTCATTTTTGCAGTTAGTTTACAATAACAATTAAATACTCTTTAAAAATAGCATGTGTTATCGTCAGCATGAACGTATTAAATAGTTTTCTATGACTAATTAAAGTGGTTTAAATATTGTGATACTTGCATTTTTATTCTTACTTTTTTAAAAATCATATTAAGTAAAAACAATTACTTATAGTAATATCTTAATAGTATTAAATACACTACTTGCTCCTTACTCTAAAAATGCAACTTAAACTATAAATAATAACTTAAGCTATATTATAACAGTAACTTACGCAACTTTAAACTCCGGCAAACAAAAAAATTTAAGATTTTGCGTTAATTCAAGCCCTGCAGTGTTTCAAAAGAAGATAAAGTGATGTTAAAAAAACATCTGCTGTTTTTTGAAATTTAGAAAAACCCTAAACTATTTGGAACAATATAAAAGTTATGCAGCAAAAGTGAATATTTAATGATACTAAGACTTGAATTGACAACTGATCTTGCTGACAGGTTCAATATATCTCTAGGATTAGCCAGTGCAATATTTTCTACATGGGTGAAAGCTTCTAGCTCACTTTTAAAGCACATGGTTTTTGTTCCAAGTAAAGATGTTATAAGACAATGCCTAACAGATTTAAGAAACTAAATTATTCAGACTTGCGTTAATTTCAGATATAACAGTTTTTAAAAGAAATTACAAATCTTAAAAAATAGTTAGATTGCATTCCAAAATACTCTTGTATAATATATAATAAAGGCTGTAATATTAATGTTCTGAAGGTTTCATCTATCACAGAGTTCCTCTGATTAGAAAGATGCAACTCAAATGAATTTTTTTCGAATTAATTTTTTTTCTGAATGATCTGAAGGTTGTTTTTTGTCTGAAGGATGTTTTTTGCTGAATTTCTGAAGGTTTCATCTATCACACAGTTCCCCCTGGTTGGAAAGATGCAGCTCAAATGAATTTTTTTTTGTTATAATTCGGTAAAAAATTGCCGACCTCATTTCTATGTTAAATAATTTTTGCCAACCTCATTTTTCTTAATTCCGAGAGTTGTATGTATATATATATATATATATATATATATATATATATATATATATATATATATATATATATATATATATATATATATATATACACTTACACGCACATACATATTTATACATACACATATATACACTTTCACGCATGCATACACACACAAATATGTAAGCTATTTTTAGGCATAATAATACATCAACTGATAATAGACAAACTTTTAGGAAAACAAACATACATAAGCCAATGACTTTGGTTGCATTAATTAGTTTTATACTTCTCTAAATATACAATTAATTTATTTTTTTTATACTTCTCTAAATATACAACTTTGTATATAAATTAATAAATGAAAATATATATTATTTGTAATAATCCATGAAAACAAGTTAAATAAATATAAAATATTTTTTCTATTGAAATCAGAACCATACATTTGCAACATAACTTATAGTTTACAAATACTGGAATTCTTAACAGTCTCTTTCAGAATGATATCCATAAAATGACTGGAGATATTTATTATATAAACATCATTAAGTTTGCCTAACGATCAAAATATATCATTGCTTCACCCAAACATTTTTTCAGACTATCAAAAATGTCTGTAAAACTACCACAATGATTAAATAATCACGTAACCTAACCGCCAACAACTGGACGAAGTATTTAGTCAGAAGAATATTATCTGAAAACTGAATATATATTATTATATATATTCAGTTTTCAGATAATGTTCTATAATAATATTATATCATATATTTTAATATTATTATAGTATTAAACCACTTTTATATGCACTGCGTGGATTTTTTGTAATATATATATATATATATATATATATATATATATATATATATATATATATATATATATATATATATATATATATATATATATTAATAATAATAATATATAGCATTATAATAATATTAGATAACAATGCACAAATCCTACCTGAAACATTAATCCAACCATAACGACCATACAAACACACGAAACAATGTCCCCATGATTTTGAATTATAAATTCTTGACTCATAAAAGGAGGACTTTTTCCCTTCTTGCCGCGCAAAACCATTTTTTTTAAGAAAAAAAAAATATAGTATAAATCAAGATATCAACGCACAAGAAGAAAGAATACCATCAACTATAGGAAGTTGTTTCAGAAAATAACAATTATGAAGTAGCAATCCATTATTATTTGCAATTTTATGCGACTACTTCGTACCGTTTTTTAAGTGAGATATTCCGAGAACACGTATACAAGAAAAAATATTTATAACTTCTTTACCAGATTCCTTTTAGATAAACTTATATTTTTAACATGAAAGTTTTAATTTATTTTGGAATAATTGCAAGGATAACTAAGTTAAATAGGGACTAACAAGACTATCATACAATTGATTGTTTAAAATTTATATCATAAGTTAAAAATAAAAAACAAAACAAAAAGGATAACAAATACTTTATAAAGTTAAGATATGATATAAAATTAGGATTTTTCTATATACTATCATACGAGCGTTATATTTCTATGTGCGTTTTAACATTTTACATATGCTAAACAAATTTTAGTACAATATTTTTATAGATAATAAAGAAAAATAATAATCTCAGTGCATGTAAAGAGACCTCAGAATGCAGTGAAACCAAAACGTAAAACCCAAATTTATCTATTAAATATTGTAACTTACAATTTGTAAGCCATGAATAATCTAAATAAAACAGTGGTTCCCAACTGGTGGTCCATGGACCCCTGGTGGTCCATGAGAGAACCTTTTAGGCAGACCACAAAGTGAAAGTAAATTCTAAATATTTTTTGGTTAGTGAATTTTAATTTTGATGTTTTTTCTGTTTAAAGAAACAAGTTAAATCTTAAATTAAAAGTGTAACTTATGCTTGAAAACTACGAAGAAATAAATGCATTTATTACTTTGTAATGATTTGCAATAATTTATGCTATATAATATCTTAATTCTTTCATCCGTAAATCTTAAATGCAGTATAAAACTATCTTATTTTGCGGCCGTGGCGCAATGGTTAGTAGACACTAGATAATCGGTCTCGAGTCTCGATTTCTCGTCTGGTATCGGTGCGATACCATACAGTATCGGTATCGAAATCACGTGATACTGGTATCGAAAGTATCGTTAATGTTGGTATCGTTTGGTATCGTTTAGTCTCGAATTATTATTAGATATAATAACTTACCTTCAAATGCGTGAGTTTGCGTGGCCGAGCAGATAAAGTTATGGCATATAAGCACGGAGTTCTAGGTTCAAGTCTTTAATAGGAATTAAATTTTTTTACTAAAAACGCAGGGTTTTTTTTACGCCTTTATCTTACAACTATTATTGTTTATTAACTATTAGGATTTAAAAAAAAATAATTTAATTGGTGGAGCAATAATTCATAAATCGCAAACCACAGTGTGCTAAATTGATTGCCAGATTGTATATCGGCTCACTTTGAATTTTTTTTTTATTTCAAATAAAGATACCTACTAATTAATTGTAAAAAAATTAAGTTCACGCGTATTAAAGGGTCTTTTTTTTGGTAATAATATTTCTGAAATTATTGAACTCCTTTTTTTAGAGGTAAAGTTTACAGTAAATAAACTTAATTTTACCTCAGGCCATAAGTGAGTTCGAAGCGTCCCGGCTCTGTTGTTTTTAATAAAAATAAAATAATATTATGATAAAAAAATAAAACCATTTTATTTGTTATTAAACTGTAATTTACATTTTTAGTAGAATCTGCTCTGTGTAAAACTTGTGGAAATAAGCTTGCAACAAAGCAAGCAAATACTACTGGCTTGCGAAAGTATATTTAAACACAACATAAGAAGTTATTCATCGAACTTCAAAAAAAGAAGACAAGCAGAGATCACAAGGAGATAAAGAACTAAACGCAATCAAGACAGGTTCTTCTGAATCCGCAAAAGATGTAGCCTTTAAAACTCTCACTCTCCCGAAGAAGGCAAAAAAGTTGCCACTTAAAGATCGGCGTCAATTAGTAGTTGATCATGACATCATTACTTTGATTGCTACTGAGTGCTTGCCTTTCAGTTTTGCTGATTTTGAAAATTTTAAGAGGTTTATGAACAAAATATTACCAAATGCCACAATAAAACATTCAACAACTTTCTCAAAAAATAATCTCCGTCGCCAACTGAAAGATGCTTTTCTTAAAGCCAGCTCACTTACTACCAGGCTTCATAAATCGACAACCTTCAGTGTTTCGTCGAAAGAATCTTGTTCCAGGTTAGATGTGAGTTACCTCAAAATACCCTTCACAGTAACCACGAGATGGAACAGCCATTACGATATGCTGCACGCCATGCTTCGACTGAAGGTTCCACTCATATACTTACGCGATACAGAAGGTGATGATTGGAAGAAAACCGTACCTACAGATGAACAGTTTCTACTTTTTGAAAATATTGTTCCAGTGCTTAAATCTGTTAAAGAGTTATCAGTTTTTTTATCTTCTGACACAGAGATCCGAATTGACACAGTGGAAAGTAACAGCATTTATCAACTTCAACGAGAAAGAAAGAAATAACATATAACTTAAAGAATTTTTCTACTAATTTGTTGTTTCCATGTTACTCATGGAAACAACAAATTAGTAGAAAAATTCCCGGAGGACTTATTATCAGAACTAAATAAAAGATTCCCAGGTAAAGGCCGTAAGTTACCCGTATTTGCACTACGACGTTACCTTCATTCATTTATTCGTGGACATCTTCTTGATGTTGACGATGAAAATATTCAAAAAATGGTTGAAAACCATCCCACAACCAAAGAATACTTTGAGAATTATTTATTGTCTGTCTCAAGCTCCAGTAATATGAACGGTAGTAATGATTCCGTTGCTGATAATGCACAAAGTTGGGAGGAAAATGAATACAATATTATTTTAGCAAATTATAAGGAAGATACTAATTCACATGATATACACGAAAACCCTCCTATTAAACTAGAAATGGAAAAATACCAAAAAACAATTAGATCCAAAAATGTAGGTAAAATTGACACCTTAGCACGGTGGAAGTAGCATGCCGCGCAACTTCCTATCTTTTTGGGTGTTGCAAGATCTTGGTTGGCTACTCCACCAACCTCTGCATCATCTGAAAGAACCTTTTCTGCTTCTGGCCTTGTCATCACTGATCGTAGATACAATCTCGATAGTGACAAGGCAGATAAGCTTGTATTTATAATGCAGAACTATTCCGCTCTTGAAAATTACATCAAAAAATGGCCCATCAAACAAGAAAATGAAAGTAAAAGTGATATAGGACATGAATCAAACTTATCTTTGCCAAAATTAATAGAAGAAAATCCTAAAATACCAACGAAACTACGGCAAAGGAAAAAACAACGAATGGACAATAGCCAAAGTATAGCAGATTATTAAAAAACAATAACTAAATCTCTAAAAAATAATTGTACTTGTATTTTGTTAATAAAAAATTCAATAAGTCACATTTTAATTTTTTGTTTTTTTGTTTTATTGAGAGTCTCGATTCGAGACCATGCAATACTAAACGATTTTTTTAATTATCGGTTTCGTTTCGTATCGAAGCGATACTGATATTATCGATATTGGAACATAAGCGATACCACACGATACGAGACCATCCTTCTCGGTATCGAGTGGTATCGAACCGATACTGATAGTATCGACATTAGTATATAAGCGATACCACGCGATACGAGACCATTTTTCTCGGTATCGACTTATACGATACCGATTATCTAGTGTCTAATGGTTAGAGCGCTTGCTTTAGAAGCAGGAGATCCATGTTCGAAACGAGTTCTGGACATATTTTCGCGTCACGATAAGGAAGGAGGCGTGAACTTCCTAGTTAAATGCATTTCCACGGTGCTCTATGACAAGTCGGTTAGGTCTTCTTGGGGCACCTAAATAATATTTAAAAAAAAAAACTGATTTGTTTGAAAGAAAGTTTGTGTTATTTTCTATCAAAATTTGATAATATTTTATATATAATATCTCAACTCTCAACTCTTATCTCAACTGAATATTTACATTATAGATGGTTTTTATATTATATATAGTATAAATAATATATATTATATATATTATATATATTATATAGTTGGTGTTTCAACATAGTTAGTAATTCATAGACAGGCTTTGGCAACCTAAACTTTACCCGGTAGTTTGAAAGTTGTATTTAATCAATTAGTCTAATTGGTCAATCATATATAATCTTTTGCTCTTAACACTCAACATTTTACAAAATTTTGTTCTCTGACGCTGAACACAATAAGTTATTGCTCTGACGCTGATCACAATAAATTATTGCTCTGACGCTGAACACAATAAGTTATTGCTCTGATGCTGAACACAATAAGTTATTGTTTTATACTTTAGTGCGATGGCTGGAAATTTTTTGGAAAAATTTTTCAAGCTTAGAAATTTATGTTTATGTTTATGTTTATGTTTATGTTTTTATGTTTTTTTATGTATGTTTGTGTTCTGTCTGAACCTCTGGCGCGGTGTTGACTCACCCGTAAGTTGATTTATGTTTGTTTGTGTTCTGTTTATACTCTAATGCAGTGTGAGCTCAGTAACTAACTACTTACTCCAACTACAAAACCTACACTCACCTTAGACTCCTGTATTTTGTTAGATGCAGTGTTTTTCCTAATGAAAAACACTGCATCTAACAAAAGTGTGCTCTTCTTAGGCAAAGGCTAGGAGAAATAAACTCCGACTAAAAATTCCCCTGCCTTGGGGCTCTTGGTTGAGTAAAGGCTAGAGATGGTGTCTCGATAAAAACACTCATCTTGGGCAGATGTTAACTGCATCCAGCTACTGTCTTGTAGAAGGCCTCCTAGGCAAAGACTTTAGGGGTAAGCAGAAAAATTCTGCTAACCAGCCTTGAACCCCTTCTTCATCTATTAGGCTGGCGTAGATGTAACCTGTGTTACATTGTTTCCTGCCTAGGATGATGAATGCTGGATCTCCTTGACTCTACTTATAGAATTTTGCTTATGCCTCCTTGATAATGGCTATGCAACTCTTCCTGTTATCTCCATATGAGGGTACAGCTCTAAAACTCAGTTTAATGGTTCTGAGGCCTGCTGGTAGTAAGGTTTCCCGAACTCTGTGGTAGCTCTCAGAGAGGCTGATTCCATCAACAGCTGCAAAGTATCAGAGTATTAACAGTGCCATGTTGC